GAAGAGTGGCAGGAAACTGAATCCGGGGTCCATGGCCCTGTATCCATTATTTTTCTGGAGAGATAAGCATGATACACCTCCGGCTGTGTGGGGGTGGTTAGGGATCCCACTGCACGATGTCACAGAATCACAGAATGATTGAGGCTGGAAGGGACCTCTGGAGGTCATCTTGTCCAACTCCCTTGCTCATCATGGCTACCTTAAAGCCAGTTGCCCAGGATTATGTCCAGATGGCTTTCGGATATCTCAAAGGTGAGCCCACAGTCTGTCAGAAGTGAGCATCACTATTTGCAACTCAGTACCAGGAAGAATTACTCAACAACCGTATCTGAGAGGTACAACTCGAGACCCATTCATGGAGTATGGGAACACGGGTGTGAGAGAAAACAGTATTTCAGGATGCAGTAGTGAGGTGATACAACATGAGACATCTCCAGGAAGACTTGCCTTAAAAAGGACTCCTTGAGAAGGAGGATTTCCCTGAGCCATCAGGCTGTGACATGGGAAAAAGCCACCCACTACCAGTGGGAAGGTGAAAGAGTTAAAAGCCCCAAGAACAAGGAAGATGTTGTAAGTGTCTTAGTTAATCAACTAAACAAAGGAAGGGTCTTTGGGGGATGGTTGGAATGGTTGTGAGGTGGGGAGGCTCCAGGACAGTCTCACTTTGGGCAGGGTCCTTTGTGATTTGGTGAGAGCTAGAATGGCTGTAAGGTAAGGAGGCTCCGGGACAATCTCACTAGACACCTCAGACAAGAATGCACCTCAGGATATCATATTTGCAACTGTGACTCATACACCCTGAAGAGTACAAAGAAACCAACAGGCATCAATCGAGACCAAGATAAGGAACTTGCGACAGTCATGAGCCTAGACAAAAGACCACCAGGGAAGAAGACTGCGAATGTGGATCAGACACTTGTATATATTAATGAGTTCCAGGAATTCTCATGTTTATGTAAACGAGCTGTCGGCAATCCTATGAATATGTATAACTTTATGCTATATAATCTCTGGAAGTTTACCACATTGTTGGAGCATTTATGGTGGAGCGATCCCCAGCGCTGCAATAAAGGATGCCTGCTTCATAACATTTTGACGTTACTGAGTTTCATTATGTCGGACTCCATACCCAGCCGCACCTCACTTCCCACTTTGCTGAGGAAAGTTAGAAATCAAGGGGGGTTGGATGTTACCGATTTTTGTATCAAAGTCAGGGCAGGGGGTGAAGGACTGCTGGTCAGTGGACATTTGGGCTGGAAATGTGAGTGCACACCAGTTTTCTGTGTGCTTGTCTCTGTGTTGCCTGGGCTTTTTCTAATGAGCCTGGCCTCAAGAGTGTGAGGGAAGGGAGGGGAGGGTGTGCTAGGAAAAGTCAAAGATTGGGCAAAATAAGAAAGCTTAGGAGAGCAGAAATAGTGTGGAGTGTCCAGGTTTGGCTGAAACAGAACTATTTCTGCTTTCAGTAGATTATATTTTCTTTTCTTCAGTTAAGTTCTCTTAGCGACTGCCCTGTCTGAAGCTGACTGCAGGTTTCAGGCAGTGCCTGCTGTCAGAGCTGATGGCAGTTAATGTCTGTAGGTGTTGCTGGGACAGGAGCAGGGTTGTTATGCAGAGAGGCCCATGGGTGGGTGCTTGTTCTCTGCGGGCTCTCTTGGGCTCCGCTGGGCTCCTCCTGGGGGGGAAGGCGGAGGAGGGGTTGCTCCCCCAGAAGCTGCAGAGGGGACAGGTGACCCAGGCCTGGCCAATGCCGTATTCCATCCCACTCATGGGAAAACTCGGTGTAAAAAAAACATCCCTCTCATGCCCACATGGCCATCATCCTTGTGGGACCCTGCTCGCTCTCCTGCCCCCGACCCTGACCCGTGCATCCCTCAAATCCCTCATCCCTCAATGCCTGCTGTGGAGTGGAGTTCTGGGATGTCGGGGTGCCTGCCCTGCCCTGTGAGCACTGCCAGTTGCTGTGGTGCAGCACGTGGTCCCATTGTCATGATCAGGAAAAGCAGTATCGGTTTTGTATATTCCTATTTCTATTATTAATAGTACTATTCCTAATATTATTTATACTCTTTTCACTGTTATTGTTTTATTAAAGTTTGGTTTAAGTTTCCAACCCACAAGTCTCTCTCCCTTTTCTCCTCTTCTTCCCTTTCGGGCAAAGGACGGGGTTAACAGAGAGCATCTGCCACCTGCTTTAAGTGCCGGCCCAGCCTTAAACGGTGACATGGAGGAATGGGGAATGTGGGCAGTTTCCCTTGGGGAAGAAGCAGGGCAAGCACTGCAGCCCCAAGGGAAAGGTATGGGCAAGGGCCGCAGGAGCAGGCAGATTTTGCCAGGTGCCACAGGTGAGCAGAGCATATGGACACAGCTCTTGAGATAGAACAACCCTGAGATGAGGGAGGGGACCCCAGGAGACCTCTAGTCCCACCTCATCCTCAAAGCAGGATGAGCTGTTTAGTCAGACCACATTATTCTGGGGTTCATACAGGCAGGTCTCAAAAATTTCCAATGACAGCGGCTGCACAAGCTTCCTGCATTACCTGCTGCATTGCTTGATTGTCTTCAAGGTCAAAAGGTATACCCTTATGTGCCATCTGCACCTTCTGCAGCACACCAGTTCTTGGAGTCAGGTATGGCTCAAGCGTGAGAGGTCCCTTTCTCTGTGCCTGGCCCCAGTACGCACCTCAGTACCCCCATCGGGCAAGGTACAAACACTCACCAAGCAGGCAGCAAGTGCCCAATGAGCTAGGCTAGCTAGGAACTCTATCAAGGCCTTGTTGGATGCTTGGCTGACCTCCTCAGGAGATGAAGGCAAAGCATTTGTGAGATATAGTGTGTTGCTGTTGCTTGTCCCAGTGCCGTAGCAGGTCCTGCACACCCAGGTGGCTTAGGCAGGCAGGACCAGCAGACAGAGCTGTGGCTTGTGACAGGCCTGACTTAGGCACCAGCACAATGTCTGGCTGTTATCCCACTGACTGGGTGCTAGCAGTCAAGTCCATCAATAAAATCCAACAAGATGCCTGAAGCAGAGATGTGCAGGAACATCTTGATAGGGTCAGTAACTCTTGAGAACTGTCATCCGGGACACAAGAAGAGGAAAAGGCTTAGCGAAAAGATCTGTGTACCACTGATGTGGCATAATACAAACCCCGAGGAGGTCCACCCCACTTTCTTGCACCCATTGGAAATGGGTTGTTGGAGCGAAGAGGGAGGAAGACAAGCAGTGGTTGCCAGAAATCCACCACAAGACTAAACAGACTCTGTGCTGGATAAGCACGTGGGTGACAGCCTCAGCTTGTCCTCCAAAATGAGGATCCAAATTGCAGTGCTGACAGGGTGTCCTTCTTTCTCATCTGAGTCTTGCTGCCATGGAGCTGGTCTGAATACGCTTGATGCAGTTTGAGGTGGATATGAGGTGTGTGATGTGCTGAGTAGCCCAGGTCCCAGGCTTTATGTTCTCTTTTGTGTTTTTTTTTCCAAATCTCCCAAGTGCTAGCAGTTTTGCAAACCAGGCCCCCAAATTTGTGAGAAACTTATGCAAAAATACACCCCCCTTCATTCTTTTATGTTCCCCACAGGATACTTGCCTGTTTTCCCATTATCTTATGCATTGGCAGTTGTATCCAACAGGTGAATGACAGCTTTTACCAGACTGGTTGAAAAATAGAAGGTCCCGGACGGGCTTTTTTCTCTGTTCAGCTTTCAGCAACACGGTGGGAGACTTTGTCTCCAGTCCCTGGGAGAAGGTCAAAACTCTCACAGCCGATGGGTCAGCCATGCACCACAGCGTGTTTATATGTAGTCGCCCAGTTTGAGGGGACAGCAGGGCTGTTAACATCACCTTGCACAGGATGTGTGTGCTGCTGGGATGAGAGTACCACTACTGGTCGCCCAGCCCCGCGGGACCCCCCGCATCCCCCAGAGCTGGGTTGCGGACAGAGCCATCCGTGAAAGCGGTCCCTAGGGCTGGGGCGGAGAGAAGGGATGAGGATGTGTACAGGGACAACCCGCGCAGCGCTAGCAGAGTGGCGCAGCGGAAGCGTGCTGGGCCCATAACCCAGAGGTC